GCCTGGTTTTATCTACTCTTATATGGACTTTTCAAGCGAAACAGTAGTTTAGAGTGTCACTCGATGGGATTTCGTTCCCTCTATAACATGCACCTACGCCAAACGTATTTGTCTCCTTCAGACAGGCCAGAAGTATGTAGGAAGGCATCCCAAAGTGTATGTGATTACAGATTGATTTTTAGGAAAATAGGAGATTATGTGAAAGTACTGAGTTTTACAGAAGACTGGGTAGCCCGGTGGTTTATATGAACTACCTTTAAGTGGCATCTGTTTGGTTCATATTAAGTTAAATCATTTTGTGCTATTTATTTTCACAGTAATGGTATATTGGCGTTAGGAAGGACAAATGCACATGCGGTGACGTCCTTTTCATTGTTGAATCTTTTCAGAGTTTTGTTTTTGAGCACTAATTTGAGTAGCACTTCTCACTTCGTCATCGATTTCGGTGCTAAGCTTAATTTCCAATGAGCCCTTTTATGATCGGAGTTATGATTTCAAGTCAAACAAGGAATCTATATCAGAAGTGTCATCCATTTATTAAAGGACGATTCGATTCCATACACTTCAAACGCGCGATCACTCAATGATTCTTCTGAGGTTGTTTTGTAGCCTTCGCCAACATTTCCCTTGGCGGGAATCTCATCATCGCCCATTTTATAATGGAACAATGATACTCAAAATTGACAGATCCCGTTGGTTAAGAACTCTTCCCAGTCTTTCATCTTGTTGTTGAAATTTTAGTCATGGTACTTGCAGCCCCGCGAAGAAATAACTTTGGGATAGAGTCGCTCTCTAATGCTCTTCTTTTGTTGTGAAATAAATAGTTCCTGGGGAAGCTCCTCAGATCTCTGACTAATTAATAATGGTTTATTCGCATAAATTTGGCATTTACATTATTGGCATGCCGTTCTTACAGGCATGGTCATATCTGACATAACTATGCAACAAATTCAGCTATCATAGTTTACAATTGTTTTGAGACGTAAATCACACTGCCTGTACAAAAAATATCGTGAAAATTGGCCAGATTTACTCAAGTACATGTATTCAGTACCATCAATCTCCAGCAATTGTGACAACGAACCAGGCTACAAGGACAAACTTAACAGTAATTTGTCACTGGTCTAAAGAACCGAAATGTTAGCGGGAAAGACACATACTAGATAAAAGTTTCATAAATTTGTCTCACAACTGTACAAAATACAAACTAATGGGTTAAACCAAAATTGTATAGATATGGTTGATGACTACGTGTTGATTTTTACATTGGGTTTATAGGGATTACTTTATGGTAGGCAACTGGCAGAATGAATTTACTGCCGTTAAGAAGAAATATAGGGTCATCCAACTGTACGTTCATTAATGGTTTAAGAGAAATGAAAAACAAACCAGAGACTGGACTTGGGTCTGGCGTCTAAGGAGTTTGGCAAACACAGTTACTGATAGATATAATGAGTTACAGTAGCTCACATCCAGTTTTGATTTGCCGAACAGAATTCGTGACGATAATTATTGGGTTCTCATGGAGTGTGCAAACTCCTTACTGAATAACGACGAAGTACAGTTTGTGGTAGAGTGTGGGATATAGAATGGCTGCCACTGTATTGGGGCTCAAGGAAATCTGGGCAAAGAAAGGAGATAAAACAGGAGAAAAACTCATGAGGGTTGTAGAAGTGGGCAATAGCTAATAACTTTGGTGGAAACAAAATTTTATGGTATGCAATATAAGAACATTCATGGTAACTGCAGCGTTTTTCACACCGAAAGGTTGAGTTATACTCAAGGAATATTATTCTGATAGCGCTAACAAACAGTTGAAATGTGTAGCACTAATGATACGATTACCTTGATACGATTATGAGCAATAAATTGTGCCCGAAACGTCATCAGTAAATATTACTGTATAACACTGTGAGACTTTATCAAAATAAAATTTACCCATAATGGAATTACTGAAAAATTATTACTGGTTATGGATAAGCCTTTGCCTTCCGGATATCGAGGTGTATCACCGAAATTATATTTTGGATATACTGTGAGAAAAACTCCCGAAGATACGACTCGCAATCTTCAATTCAAAATCCTAAGTTGTTTCAAATGGGTTCGTATTAAAACCAGTATATTAGAAGTTACTGCAATATTTATTGTTCCGATTAACAAAATGTACCAGATCACCATAGTACAAATCTTCGCTTAGGAGGTTATCCGGCATGCATACACAAAGGGAAAAATAGCTGAACATAAAATGGCTCACAGTTAACGAAAATTTTCACTAAAACAAGAAATGTACAGCAGTGCAGTGAGTCACAAATGGTCTAATTAATACATAAAAGTAAAATGGCATATGTAGTACAATTGTGATATTTGGAAGTGAAGTGATGTACGAAACTCGAGGCTTATCCTTTCTTTGCAAATTAAGAGAAACCCAGGACAAAATCAAACTTCAGAGAAGTTCCCCATTTTGTCGCTTGAAAATATCGGAACTAACTTACTGGATAAAAGTTTTTCCGTAGTCAGTATTTCCCAGCTTGTAACTTTTGTTGGCCCACTGTTTATTTAAAACAACTCTGTTGTGTTAGCAGTGGTTCTGCATTCCCTGCAGTTACTTGATGTGATATTCTCTTAGACACTCAGGTTCTTTTTCACCCAAGTATCACTTGAAATCCTTTGAATCTGTGTATAATAATTCCCCAACGAGTTGGATGAATAATTTCTAAGCGTAAGTATACCTTCAGCCACATAGCTAAAAAGATACTGTCATCATTCTGCACTCCGTAAATGTTCCCGATGCCAATCTCCCTGGCTTGTTCTGAGAACTATAGGCAACTAAACACTGGTCCCTATATCACTAGGGAATTTGATAAACTATATCGACACCAAAATAAACACCATTACGCCGTTAATGTTTCTCAGTGGTCCAGTTCATGAAACCAATTGAGAAAGTGTGCTGAGTACACGTTAGATTTTATAGCAAATGAAGTTGCTGGATGAATTGTATCCCCTTGCAACATTCCAGCATACGATCTGCCTGATTCCATACCGCCCAATCAACTTAAAGTCTGATGTCTTCAAGGGTGTGACATGCCATCGGCGAACAGTCACCTAATCAGGCCTTGTAGCAGTAATAAAACTGCTCGTGATCTAACGCCAAGCCAGAGAAGTATTGGTGCAAATGTATCAAGTGTCTCAAAACCTTATCTCACCACAGAATTTTCCAGAATTGCTACAATCCCCCCAAGATGTTAGTGACAGTGCCTGTCCTATTGAACCGAACGGTGAGGCAACTGCGACCACAGGCCTGAACACATCATTAGAGCTATTCTTCCTTCAAACAACACCACTACCATGAAGAGTTAATCCATCCTTTAGCTACTCCACTGCTAAATTTACTCAAGCAACCAGGCTCGACTCGATGCTTGCAAACAGAACATCAGTAGTCTCTTGGACTGCTAATCACACAGAGCGAAGTCACTTAACCTACTGTCGAAGATACCTGCACTCAAACCCGTTTTTCATTGGCTACTCAGCACCAAATGTAATAATGTTAACATGCATTGCTCTAGCTCCACTATTAGCCTGCACAAGCTGAATTAGACTTCTTACTACTACAAACATAACGTCCATGAAAAGGGATTCATGGAGTTGTCCAGCACCGACTACATCTTAGCCCGAGGGATGCAACAGATGCGGTTTTTCCAGCTATCCGATGACTAAATCAAACTCCTACCAACAGGCATATAACCGCCCTCGATACAACTCTGTGTGGTTAAAATATGTGGAAACGCAGTCCAGGGCCATGTGCGATGAGGGACCACTAGGATAAATACCTCTTTTAAAGCTCACTCTCTGACTCGCCATATCCCTGAGACTTATCTGGCGCAAATTACTCGATACAATCCATGGATTAGCACTTACCAAAATAGCTTAGGCACACATAATGAGTTACGATTAAGGCACATATAGCTTCACATAGCCCCGCTAGATAAAGGAAATACCTGCCTCCACTTTATCATCCAGCCCAATTTTCTCAGCCAACATGACACCTCAACCCCAGTACCAATATAAATAGCCCCTTTTCTTCAGAGATGTGGTCGACTAACATCAACCACAGTAACACTCTACACCCTCCGAGGTAACCACCTTATTCTCTGTTGAAAATGGTACAGGGCACTGTTCCTGTACTGTCAGCAAGTAATTTCACCTGGGTCAGCACCAGTTAAATAGCTTGCCCTTGACATTGAGAACTCTAAGGAAAACTCTATACAGGGTATCTGAGGTCTCTTTATCACTTTCAAATCTCATTCCGTTTGACCAACTCCCACTCTTTGCTCAATAAAATGATCGACCTCACAATTTGCTGCCTGTCCATGAAAGTGTAGGTGCTAGCTTTTCTACCTTATGTATGAAGACGATCACAGGGAAATTTTTTCTATGGGAAAAAACTCCTTTTAAGCAGGAATACCTGATATAAAGAAAGTTTTCACTACAGTATGATAAAACTTGCTACCGAAGTGTCTGATGCAACTTTAAGCTGAAAAAGCTGCCGTATTAGTACTCCGTTGTATCGAAGTCGTCTGGGGACATATAATCTGCCAGTTCTAACCAAAATGTATTACTAAGGCAACCAGTCTACATCTTCAGATATCCTAGAGGTCCCTGCATGACGCGTAATGGACTGTTAGTTTCTTGCATGTAAATACCGGTCCCATTTGCCATTTAAGATGCTGTCATCATATCAATATTTAGAATTTCATAACTTCGATTTACATAAAGGGCAGAAAGAAACCACGTTCTTGTGATTTCACAATGGCTAGACTATGTCCATTTACTCATTAACTTGGTTCTCGAAACTTATTTCTTGTGCTAGCGAACTAGTGTAAATTACCCATAAGCCTCTCATTTGACGTTTATATCACAATAACACTGGAAAATACGGGGTGCAAGCACCTCTTGTAATAGTTGTTTTGTTTGAAGTCATGTTTAGGGCCACAATTGTTTAAGTTCGTACATTCGAGATAACCGCGCACTCTTGACTGCAAAAGGCCACATGGATTCTTTTGATGCCTACGGGCCGAATTCACAGGCCTTAACCTTTTTTGATCCTGAAGAAAATGACCTAATTGGTGGGGATACTCAGGGGCCAGATTACGATTGTAACGATTTCACCTTGCCTTCACCGTCTCAAACACAGGCATCTCAGCTTGATAATGACAAAAATTGTTTTTCTCAACAAGTATGTTGCTTTAATTACCCATTTTATGTATATTTAGCTCGAGCGCTCTGATAGCCTAAATGCCCTTACCCAACGTGTAGCAGATTTAGATTTTAAGGATGACGATTTAGATGACTCTAATACCGAACTTCCAGAACACGCATGTGCTTATTGTGGTATTCATGATCCAGCTTGTGTGGTTTTTTGTAATACCACAAAGAAGTGGTTTTGTAACGGTCGTGGAAATACATCTGGAAGGTTAGTTCCTTCTTTGTCTAACTCCCCTTAGTCATATAATTAACCACCTCGTGAGAGCTCGGGCGAAAGAGGTAACCCTGCACAAAGATGGACCCCTGAAGGATACACTTTTGGAATGTTACGTATGTGGGTCAAAAAATGTTTTCCTCCTTGGCTTTGTACCTGCCAAGTCAGAGTCTGTCGTTGTATTATTGTGTCGTAATGTATGTGCAAATGCCAATAAAGATATGTACTGGGACCCTGCTCAATGGCAACCTATTATTCAAGGACGTCAGTTTCTTTCCTGGCTTGTCAAAGTCCCTAGTGATGAGCAGCAAGCAAAAGCTAGGCAGATATCAGCTCAGCAGATAAATCGACTTGAGGAAATGTGGAAGGAAAACCCCCAAGCTGCAGTGGAAGATCTAGAAAAACCTGGAGCTGATAATGAAGTAAATCCAGTATTGCTAAGGTAGGATTTGATAATATGATTGTCACACGCTACAGATATGAGAATGCGCGCCAGTACCGAGAAGTATTCATACCCCTAGTACAACTGGAGGCTGATTATGACAAAAAGATAAAGGAGTCATTAAAACTCGAAAACGTTTCAATTCGGTGGGAGACTGCACTCAACAAGCGTCGAGTGGCTTACTTCCGCATTCCTGGAGCCAATGAAGGTTTGTCTGTTTTAGAACTTAAGGGTTCGGTATTGAGAATAACATTTGTTTTTAAAATGATAATTTCACTTTACTGTACTTATTTCACCTCATGTCGAGCTTAATTAGTCGTGTACTTCTGTATTGTCAGTAGTTTTTTGCTTGCTTAGTATAATACTTACAGGTAAGTCGACAAATACGCGGAAGTCTTGATTAAAGGTGAAGAATGCACATCTGCAGTTAGTTCCAGTTTGGAATGTATAATCTTCCGGATACCCGACTTCTGGGTTTTTGGATTTTGCGTCCGTAACTGATACTAAAATCTCCACTTCACATCAGCAAAGCATGTATGTATAAGAAAAGTGGTCACAGGTTACTGTATTCATGACTGGAAGAAATTCCACATCTGGGGTACATTTACTGATGACAGTGAGTAGTGCTGATTCATTTCCAATTATTTGCTTACATCTAAGTTCCATAACCTCTTAATTACTGATTATAGAACATGACGTTTTATTTAGGGTTAGTCTGGATCTTCACACAACAATGAAATGGTTGGATATTTCTGTAGTGGATCTAAGTTCCACATACAAACCTCCACAAGTAGCAGTCTAAACCAATGTAGTTTGTGCTTATTTCAGCATCTTTCGTCAGCCATGCAGTTTCACATGCAGGTATACTCATTTGGAGTAATATTTAGATTAGATGCTGGATGATAGTTAAAGCAAGCCAATCAATAAGGTTCTCATCAACCAATGTAACCATGACATGTGGTAAGCATACTAAACCAGTCTTAAGTGATGCTAGATGAAGTAGGCCCAATATGGGAAAGTCAGGGGCGTTCAGGCATTAAAACTTGGTCTGATTTGTTTAGGCAGATTGTCAACTGGTTGGAATTATGGAGGTATTGATAATCAGTAAAGACTGCTGAGATGCAGCAGTTATGTTGTTGTCATCCAGCTTCTTAATATTACAAATCCTCATTGAATTATTTTGCTTGTTTCACCGTTGTCTGTCAAAAACCGCTAAATTTTTTATTTGAATGCTTTTGTGAAGTGTTTGTGCAGAGCTTTACGTCGTTCCTCTAGTAAGGCGAATTAACAAACGTACCAACATGGAAAAATCTCAAAACAGTTCGAAGTAGAGGAGAATAAGGTGATACTGGACAACGCGCATATATTTGTTACTGAAATACTTGTGTTGGTTATTGGAAATTGGTTAGTGGACGAACTATTTTAGACCAGATAAGAACTGCAACACCGTTTTTAAACATTGAGCATCTCTTGTGGGTATCTAGTTACCGTCACTTCAGGTTACAATTGTAAAAGGTTCCACAGCTTCATAAATTCGTTCAAAGTGTGCTCCTCATTGTCACACCGACTAACTGATGAAATGAAAGAGCGCTATGTTGTTGTTTCCAAGGTTGCAGCTGAAAATATAATCAGTGCACTCTTGTGAGTCTGAAATTCTTCTAGATTTCAGTACTCAGTTGCAAGCTTACTAGGTCTTCAAACCCTAGGATCTGGGATATTTGATCAAACTCGTTACCACTGAAATTGTCTCTTGATTAATGATGTACATCATTCCGTTTGAATCATCTCGCAAGGTTGAGTAGTAACTAGTGTCACAGATAACTTATTTGGAACCTGCTTTAAACGATTCTGCGTTCCGGCTTGTGGGTTACTTCCCAATTCTTTTTCCAGTGGTATTTACGTATTACATTATTATTATGATTCTTGTTTACCACTAACATTATACCTTTGGTTACCTTCCTACTGCAAGGCTGAGAAGGAATCTGGCTAACAAAGCAGTCGGGCATGTTTTTAGTTACGTTTGATTCATAAAACATACAAATCCATACATTTCTGTCAACAACGAACCTCTTCTCTACAGAGTTCAGTAACAGTAAACCTCTTACCTCATCACTAGTAATTCACCTTAATGAATATTGCTTTTTCAGGTCCAGAATTGCGCATTATGCACGGCGATGAATTGATTATTCATCAGTTTAACAGCCCAAACGACCTTTTAGTTGGCGTTGGTCACGTAATCAAAGTACCAGACAGTAAGTCCTTAAAAATATTTATTTATTAATTATAGGCATTATGCAAAAGAGGCAGCTAGGGGGAATTATTTCTGTTGCTATCTTGTGTTTGCGTGGCACTGTCTGCACTTTCTTTGACTCTGGAGCATAATTTATAGGTGCAAAAACTAGGGTGCGTCTTGCAGCGGACGTGTACTGTTAATATTAGATAGCACTGCAAGCAAAAATGTTTGAGAAGATATTGTGGTAAGCCAAATGTAACACATTCAGGTATAAATGAGCTTCATGAATTTTGATTAGTAAAAGGAGTGAGTAAATGTTTTAAATCATATCCTACCAAAGCACGAGGTTTTCAAAATGTAGTTCACCAATTTATGTTGCTACACTCAGTGCGTCTACATACTATTCAGACCGCAGTTCCAGTCGCTGTCGAATATATATCTTACTTTAGTTCTTAAGAGGTGATCGAATATTAACTGACATAAAAATCTTCTACTACATTAAAAGTTGGTGAATTTTTTTCCAGTGGTAATAGAACTATGTTCCCTGGGCATTCTATTGGTAAGGTTACTAGTTATTAACTAAGAGGAGATAAAACGATGCCCCCCTCATTTCAGTTATAAATTATTAGACTAATGTGTGAGTACTCGATTTGTAACTAGTTAAGAAGAAAATACTGTTAATACAGGGAAACTAAGTTAATGGGACAGCACGTTCCATACTGTAAAGGCCAGATGTTTCCTCCCATTCCTCCTGAAAAATTGAAATTCGAAGAAATGATATCTTATAGTGTTTTTGCTTAATACGCTAATATTTTGTTTAAACTGTCCAAAGTTGTTAATGAGTCCACTTTCTATTATAGATTTTAGTGACGAAGTTGGTTTGGAAATGAAACACGTCAGTGATACACCTTTGGATTCTGCAACTTACAGAATTGAATTCAAGTGGAAATCAACTCCCTTCGATAGAATGAAAAAAGCGATCGTGACTGTAACAGATGAGTCACGTGGTTTGTTACCACCATACATATTTTATCGACTATTGGGGCAAGAGTTAGATGATATGGTACTTAAATGCAACCTACCCAAACGCTATTCTGCACCAGACCTTCCTGAGCTCAATCACAGTCAGGTGTTCGCTGTCAAAACGGTTCTTCAGCGTCCACTTAGTCTGATACAAGGTCCTCCTGGAACGGGGAAAACTGTCACGTCTGCATCAATAGTTTATCACTTAAGTCAAATACATCAGAAAAAGGTCCTAGTTGTTGCGCCTAGCAATACTGCAGTTGATCAGTTGTGCGAAAAAATTGATCGCACAGGACTAAAGGTAGTACGCTTATGTGCTAGATCCAGAGAGGCTCTAGCTTCTCCTGTTAGCCGTCTTATGTTGCATATACAAGCTCAAAATGTGAAGGGACATACTGAACTTCGAAAGTTACAACAGCTGAAGGATGAAACTGGTGAACTGAGCCAAGATGATGATAAACGATATCAACTTTTGAAGCATGAACTTGAACGTAGGTTGTTAAAATGTTTTTATAATTTTTAGTCATACTGCTCCCTCTCCCAACTGGTCTGTTTAAGCAACCACAGTATCACAGCCTCCGTACATTTCTTCGTGTATTATCGTGAATACAAATCTATTTGAGGTTGAGATATCTTCCCACATTTTTCCATTAATGGATAGAATCTAGTTACGCGTATTTTCCAATCAGATCAGATCGTTGTGCCAGTATTTCTAAAATGAGCTTTGTGAAGGTTCCTTTTCGAAACGAAGAGTATCGAGTATCCTAACACCCATTCATATGAAGACTGACCAAGATCTGTCATTTAGGAATCTTTAAGCCACTGAAATGTAATGCACTGTGCTAAACTAAAGTTATTCCTTGTTTCCAATATCACCAAATTCTCTTCAAGCACACTTATTTTTCCAAGAAATTTAGTGGAATCCAACTATAATTTATCAGAACTGTTTTAAAATTAAGTAGCAAAAATATTCGTGACGTTATGTGAAATAAAAGGGCTTGTGGTGAAGACAACTTTTTCTTTTCGATAGTCATCAACCAGGCTGTACACTCGTAAGTATATAACAAAAGAGTGAAAGTTTCCGAACTGCATCCGGTCAGGTGGCAAAATATACTCAATAACAAGATAAAGTGGAATAATACAATGGGAAAATGAACATGAGTTTTGGACATAGTTACATAATAATGATTTTCTTGAGGAAAACTGGTTATGACGGTCCTGGTAAAGACAGTGGTTAGGCATGCTTTTGGATGCATAACGCTTACTTAGAGGTTTTACTGTTTTTGCTTCACTTCTGCTAATTGTCTTGATTTCAGTCTCGTTATGAAGTTTGTTGCTATCTTGTAAATGACTTAGAGGGTTTAACAAATGAACCTCAGTTCACAGGATTTTCTGTTACTGAATTTAGGGCATTTCCCTTCCACTTTTGGCAGTCAAACTGCGTAGTGTTCACGATCGCGTTTTACAAACGAGCGCATGCTACAGCTGATATACTCAGCTTCACAGAAGCAAATGTTGCTGATACGTTAGCTTGTGTTACACTTACTAGTTCAGTGATTTATTGCAAGAAAACGTTGTTTGGAGTCCTGGGAATGAAGTATGGTTTCCTGAGGTTTCGAAAGCTGTTTTTTGAAAAATACCTGCCGCACTGTCACATCTAAAAGTATATGAGCTACCTTTTTATGTGATTTGTATATTCTTTTATTAGGTGACATTCTTTTGGCGGCAGACGTAGTTTGTTGCACTTGTGTTACTGCCGGTGATATTCGTTTGGAGCGCCTCAGCTTTCATTCTGTTTTAATTGACGAGTCAACACAAGCAACAGAACCTGAGTGTTTAATCCCCTTAATGGTGGGCTGTCGTCAAGTTGTTCTTGTCGGTGATCATTGTCAGTTGGGTCCCGTAATAACATGTAAAAAAGCTGCTGGTGCTGGACTTACTCAAAGTCTGTTTGAACGTTTTGTCCTTTTGGGCATTCGACCCATACGCTTACAGGTGAGTTCTTTATTTTCAAAAGCATAATTATGCCTAGTAATGTGAGAAAAAGAGTAAGTTGCTGATGCAAAATTCCTTGCTAGATGAATTAAAGTATCGGTTAAATATAACAATCCTACATTGAAAATCCAATTTGTTCAGTATTCGTGTTATGCTTCCTGTAGCGACTATTTCCATTGCTTTTATACTGATAACTAATTTTCCCCATCTCTCTTTTTTGAAACATCTATTACTCCTCTATTCAAGACTTTGGCAGCAGACATTACTCGGTATACCTACCAATTCGTGTCAGTAGCACACCACAATAATAGCCGTCACACTCGTTTATCCTCTAAGAATATTAGTTTAAAGGATTTAGAAGTTCGTGTTTTTTCCTTCTTAAGAATATACGCACCAATTGCTTGGTGTCAATGTCTGATATATCACTTTAAGTCTTTCCACAACTGTGGTAAAATCTGGACTTGTAGACCTTACTAAGATGTATCTAGGAAAAAGCTTTTTTACCATGTGACAGTATTAAATTGTAATATAGCAGGACGAAGAGAAATTGACAACTAAGGCTTTATTTATCGACTAGTCTGACAGTACATGCAACAGGAATGATCAAATACTTGTCCCAGGCATCGTAAAAATCCTACTACCCTTACGATAAATGGAAAACAAAGACGAGGACCATAAAAACCAACTTTCGAAGTTGTAGAATTACGTTTAACATGACCATGGACGGGACGCCATCTAGTAAATAATAGTTTCACTATATGACCTACATGATAAACCAAATAGTGTGGAATGTAGTCAAGATAAATTAGAATGATGCCTTTCTCGAAAATCTATTGAATAATACATCCCTCCTGGTTTTGTTGTTTTTTCTACTTAGGTTCAGTATCGTATGCATCCAGCGTTGTCAGCTTTCCCCAGTAATGTCTTTTATGAAGGAAGTTTACAAAACGGAGTCACAGCAGAAGATCGATGCAAAAAGATTGACTTTCCATGGCCAAATCAAGATAGACCCATGTTTTTCTATTGCACATCTGGACAAGAAGAAATATCTGGTAATGGTGTGTCATACTTGAATAGAACTGAGGCGGCAACTGTTGAAAAAATTGTCACGAAGTAAGTTACAAAATGTAGTGTTTCCTTTGCATGCAAGTAAATTTTAGGAAATAAGTTAAGTATTTCCAATACAATATACTTTTTTTGTGATATCACCAGAGACGATTCCTTGTTAAAAAGAACACCATTAATCATCGTGTTTTGCTGCGAAGTGATCCAAGCTTACACATCAAGTTGATGGTGGAATAGTAAAATAAATATAATACTTTGGCAGTAAAACAAGGTTTTAGCAAACCTGCATCACTGAGTGTCTTTAGCCATAAACGTCACTATTTACGTGACTATTTTTAAAAAGTATTTCTAGCGAGTTGGAGATTAATTCATCAATCTCATTGGTCCCACCCTATATACATTTTTTTTCTACATCAGAAATTGACGTACTGATCATATTTAACTTAATTCTATTAAGCCATACAATGAAATCAGTAGTTGATGAGGGAATAACTATTTTTAGCCAATCGTATTTACTATAGGTAATGAGTGCTATATGATTTGTTTTTTTAAAATTGATTTTTACAGAATGCTTAAAATTGGTGTTCATCCAAATACAATTGGAGTAATCACTCCTTATGAAGGTCAACGTGCTTATTTGGCACATTATCTTCATTATTCCGGCTCTTTGAATGCTAAATTATATCAAGAAATAGAAATTGCCAGTGTTGATGCATTCCAAGGTCGAGAAAAAGATTATATTATTCTTTCATGTGTTCGAGCAAATGAAAACCAAGGTATTGGATTTCTTAATGATCCACGTCGTCTGAATGTTGCTCTTACTCGTGCTCGTTATGGGTTAATAGTGGTTGGAAATCCAAAGGCACTTTGCAAGGTAACATTTTCCCTATTGCAATAAGTTTATTCAAATAATTGTTGATAATAGTAATAATTCTTTGGCAAAGCGATTTATTTTTAATTATCAGACTGTACTGGTGTATTAAAGTCCATTTAGTCATTTAGTAAGTTTCATCCATAATCCGTGAGATTGAACGTCCCAAAACTGTATTGTTGTGATGTAAACTTAATTTTACCTTAAAATTGGAGATTTTTATATAGTAGTAAAATATGAGACTTCAGATGGTTTCTTCATGGTATCTGTTTCTGAAAAGCCATATTTAGAAACACCGTTGTAAGTAACTCACTGTTCATTAAACGCATTTTTGATTTGTCTAACATACAGTGCTATATTTAACCTACTACATGTGTAATCTATCAAGCTAATAATATACATCACAATTATTTTTCAGCAACCACTTTGGAACCAGCTACTACACTTTTATCGTGATCAGCATTTACTTGTGGAAGGACCGTTGAACAACTTAGGCGAATATATGTTACAGTTCCCTAGACCAAAGGTTCCTTACACTTTCAAACCCGGTGGTCATTATTTAGCACAGCTTAACGCGAATCCAGGTTTGCTGAATAATAATCAGTTAAATAGTCAATTGAACATACATTCGGCAAACCAATTCAATTATCTTGCGAATTCATCTCAACCGTGTTTTGATAATCCTAATGGACCTACAGCCTTAGTGGCAGCAATGGCAGCAGCAGCCGCTGCAGCTTATTTCGGTGGTCCTAATTCCAATGCTAGACCAAATGTTCCGTCAAATCTTAATCAACCGGGAGCAAGCCATGCTGCAGCGTATGCTGTTGCAGCTGCTGCGGCAGCTCAACATCATCAACCGAATCAGTCATTTTCAGGACAAACCAACGGTGGTTCACATAATATGCATCAACTTCTGAACAAATCTCTTTTTGATCAAGTTGGATATATTGGACCAAACAGACAATATGCAGAAGCTAACGCTAGTTCAAGTAAGTGATTGATTCTTCTGTAGCCTTTCTCGGTTAATTGTGTTACTCGTTACTTAGTTTTCCACTGGTAATTCTGTAGACAAACGCTGAAAATTATCCCTGTTTCGAGGCTATAAAAAAGTCAAGGTAATATGTTTGAATAAGCGATAAAACGACCTTTACCATGGTGTTCGTGATATTTCCTACGCCATGTATTAATTTAGTTAATAGAAAGAGGTTGTTGAAATGTGTATACAACAACACGATTTGTTGAAAAGTAACATTCAATGTACTCATACCTACGACAGTCCCACGATCTCCTCTGTACATTTCATATGTATGAAATACGCCTTTTGTGGTTCTTATTTAACTAGCCATTGAGTAATACCAAAAACAAACTGCGCGTTCAGTATAGCAAAATTATTAGTGATGTACATATGCGATGAACACTACATATACAGAGTCAGTTAATCGCCTGTGGATTACGCATAATTCTGAAGAAAAGTTTAGCATCAAAATTATGTCGGTCAATTATAATTATTAGCTTTGACGTATAGGGGGATTAAAAATAGCTGGTCACGAAAATCAAGACAGTTAATGCTCAGATGTTTCCAAAAGGTCATTACGCAATCGACAATTTGTAAGGTATTGGCGATTAGGAGGAAGAGATAAGCGAGTTACGTAAGAACACCAGGATACGAGTAGATTAATTGAATTAGCTAAAATAGTAATAGTAATCATAGTTAAGTAACACCGCGGAATATCAGTCACAGGTACGAGGGAGAATCATGTTTAAACCGAAGTCATGTGGCCAGCCACGGCAAGCAAAACAGGCTTTATGAATCCCTTTTGAACACAGACTTGGCTTATTCAAACTGGTTTAATCTCGATACGAACTATGTGCTAGTGTAGAGCCGCTGATGACCTTGTTTTTCTGTGCATATGGGAATTTTCAAAGTACCGAAACAGTTTTGTGACACACAGTCCTAATAATGCAAGTGATAGATTGTATTCGAGTGTTGCTATACTTTTGTCCTAACGGTAAGAATTAACTGTAAGTTGCACCAAATATCTACAAGAAATATGTATCACTTCCATGTGGTTTTTACGCCGTTATAGCAGTTATCAGACCTAATTTTTTCATGAATCTGATTTGCAAATTGGTCAGATCAAAATATTGAAACTTAGCTTGTGGATAATCAGTTTACAAGTTACGAGAGGGACGGTTCTATTACAGAATGAACGATACGATCGGAGTTGAATGACTAACTTGTAAGGGTAAGAGATCAGTAAAAGAAAGTCGTATGGAAATAGGCATAGCAAATGACTGTGAACCCTTCCAAAACTATCCATCAAGATAAACTGCTTAGGTCAGTTGCTTCTAGTCCTATATTAATTTCCGACTATATTGTAAGGTGAACTAAACTTTAATAGTTTAATCAGTCTAATTTCATGTTATGATGTGATAAATTAGCTCATATAAATTCACATGTTATTTCACTGTATCCGTGTACAGTTCTAAACTATTTGCGTCTGGAACATACACAACAATATATGAAGAAGAAACAAAGAAACCGAATTCTGTTTTAGATAAGCATATTTATAATAGCGTTGTGAATTCTTGATGTCATCTGTAGTTAATTTGCACAAAAGTATTGTTGCATAAGTCTGTCTTGTGTACGTAACAATTTGTTTTCCACCTTATCTAGATCTCCCCATGCCATTAAGCATGCTTATGCCTGCTAATCGTCCTTCGAATTCAAATGTTACAAATTCATTCGGTTCTTCTGGTCATTTTGGCAATGGGAAATACGGCAACAACTTAGGAGCAGCTGGATCACTCGGCAGACCGATTCAAGCACTAGGTGCAATGAACATGCATACGAATCACTCTCAGTCGAATACAGGAAATACAAGAGCTCCAGGTGGTCCTCTTCCTGGTTCCGGTTCTACAGCACCCCGATATCTTGGAAATGCACGTCGCAATATGCAAAACAATTCACAAAATGCCTCAAAATCGCGCCAAGTCGACGGGGTTAACGCTTCAATAGAACGTGGTACTACTAATGATACCAATACTGGTGCTGGTTTACTGTCACAGCCCGGTTTATCAGAATTCTCAGGAACACAAGGAACTTCTAGTCTGGGTGCTCTTGGTGTATACAATAGTCAATCGCGTCATGCAGGGCTCTCTGGTTTATCTCAGGTAATTTGATACTAATTCGCATATTGTTTTACTAGCACGTAACTCACTCCTGCAATTCTCGCTAGGTAGTAGCGCTATTTAGACATGAAACAGGACTTAAATTTAATGCGCTTCTTCGAAGATGAGTGGCCTAGTTTGCTATTTTACTTAAAAATCTTACTGTATATAGAGTGCAGTACTCTGTGCAAAAAATCTGAGGAAATTAGGCGAATATGAGGTGCTTTTCAAAAGTATTTGTGTGATGGTTAATTACAAAATATTCACTTCTTACAACGCTCCCTTACAAATGTTTTAGCATGTTCTACAATTAGCACTTATTTAACAACTTACTATTTACTAACAAAGCTGTCTTTCAATTCATTTTTTAGGAAAGCACTTCATTGGACTTCCGCCTTGGTCAAGGTGCTAGTCAAATGGACAACTTATTGTTGTCACAAGATTCGACGTTTCAAGGAGCTACGGTACCCAACAACAAAAGGAATTTGCAAAGAGAAGAGGACTTCTTTGGTACTGAAAATGACGACCAATCCAATGAAAGTTTCGATGCAAGTTTGGTTAACGGAGCCGACCTAGAAGATATTGATGTTTCTCAAAATGTCAGCTGTGCGAGCAATGGTGCACTGCTGTCGCAGTTTTAGAGAACTCATTCGGCTTCAAAGCCGGATATCAGCGATTATGAGCTAACATATAATATCTTCAATGGGGTGTCTGTTTACAGTCATCCTCGACAACAACGACGGAAAGAATCAATTAATTTGAACGTGAACGGATAAATGAATCTTGGTTCATAAATATGACCTAAAAACTGCCTCTAATGATTTGGTCACATAGTTCTGAAACAAACATTGGTGTTCTTTTTTATGCTTCCTAGTGATGCACTCAGAAGTTTGCACTACTTGCCTTTAATTGCTGGATATACTGATCTATTCATTTGAAGATGTTTATTTTCATGATAAATTCTCTCACATACAAAGTGTACATTTTATTATTGTCCCGTTGACTTTATTCTAAATCTGTTGTATAAAATGTTGAAGAGCTAGTATGTATTCTTTGAAAACTAATCAGTTCGTACGACCCGCTGCTCTAGTCCGGTTTTCCTGTACTCTGACCGCATTTGCAAGTACAACTTTTTCATTTCTTCGAAGAACTGAGGGTCTTGAATACTGAAATGCAAGAATCAACTTATAATTATTCTCATTACTATTTTTTGTTGCACTCCAGCGCCCGATAGAAATCCTTGCGACAGATGTATATTGATGTCCAGTAGTATTTCTGTGTACAGTTAGACCATTCTAAATGCGAAATGACATAAGAAGTGGGTCCTTACCATCCCAAAGATTGGCACATTGTTTTGTCCTTAGTCTGTCATACATTAATGCGGGTATAATGCTCTCCTCCTCAACTCGACTGATTTCATTGCTCTCAGGATCACCTGAAGGAGATTATTTAAAAACAAGGCAGTTTTTAAAAAATGCACAATTTTGCATAGGAAAATATGAGTGTGAAAGCCAAATTTAGAAATATCCACCGTGCCTTGATTTTATCTGCAGCTTGATTAATTCTGTTCCTATCAATCTAGCTAAGTGGCGCGTTGACTCAGTTTTTGGCTTTTCAGTACACTCGTATTAAACCCAACTCACCTAGACCAAGAGGACCACTTATGTCTTCAGACGGTAATAAAGCAAATCCGATACTTTCACGTTTAGAAAACGGGTTGCCCATTCACCGAGTACCTTCCTGAAAAAAAAACGAGATTTCTAAAGTGAGTTGACAGGAATTAGTTAGAGTAAAAGTTATTTGTGAACGTTCGGTTTTGCCAATGCCCGACCAAACTAACTGGTAATTTAACTCAGAACTTAACACAAGTTATAAATTTCGGCATGACTGCTGTATTTCCACCGAAATCAATCACTTGAACCACCAATGTATATATATAAAAGTGCGCTGATAAGCCCGACAGCATGCATTTTCAATAAGTTAGCCACTGGGTGTAGTCACCTTGGTAGTCCATCGTAGTATTCGTCCACTCAGGTTATCGGAAATCTATCACGAAGTTTGCGTTACTCACACGAGTGAGTTACACGAGTTGTGTTGTTTATTCGCCTTGGTTCTCAGGCAGTATTGTACCCTACAGCTGAATTTGCCGAGAATTTTTATTTTATGATAGATGAGACCTAGTGAATGACAATATAATCACTAAGATGCAAGTTGAGGCACAGAATAGGTTAATGTTGTTATTGCCTTGTCGTTTGAGTTGATTTGAAACGTGATAAGAGGAATAAAGTTGCATTGGGGTAGGTCGATTCAAATCAACAAACTCCACGACAGCGAAATGACAGCCTTGTATAAGCAGTTAGAGGATAACTAGGTCACGTCTGTGGGATAATCGATTGTTTTTTGAGAAGATTGCACTCTGTGGACATAGGTTGGTAGTACAGTCAACTCACCAAAAGTTTGTAGATGATGTGGAGTTGTTGAGACTAGTCAGTATTATTCAAGATATAGTAATTCGGTGCTGACCAAATTCGAAAGGCAAACTGTTGAATGAAAGAATTTTCTTCACGATGAATACAGAGAAATTACAGCAGTGTACGATTGATATCATGAAACGGGATATCCAGGCATGTTATGCTTTTTTTTACTAGAAGCCAGTCAATGTCATACTATGAATAATATTGACTGATATCGACAACTTTGCAGGTTATGACAGTTTAATTTACTACTAATGAGTGCATTTTCAAAACTGCAAAATATTACATTCCTAGTCATCATCATATGCCAGTTTCAACTTTAAAACCATGCATTGCTTAGGGGAACCTAGAAGGATGGATATCGAATAGATTAATGAGATAACAATTCCCAAAGACTAAGTAAGCCAAAGTGTCTTAATTGAAGAAAACTTATTCAAGATAACTTGTCATCTAATTCGACGCAATAAGTTTACTAAGAAAGCCCTGGTCTAGATTACATACTCCAGGGATGATTAACACGAACATTTTTAAGCTAACGAATTAGAGATTGAGTGAGATTAAGAATTCACTCTCTTGGAAAGTCGCACCTAACTCAGCAGACTATTGCTAATAGAGTCTAGAAATTAATGCAACTTTCCTGAAGTAGTTTATTTAGAACGATAGCCTTGAACTATACATGCAGTACTGAATTACTGACGTAGAACTTCGAGCGAAAATGCAGTAGATTAAGTCGCATTGAACAAAAATGTGCAGACTGCATAAATAATAATGATAATGAGGACTGATAGCAGCTGAGAAGTAGCAAGGAGTGAATTTCCTATCATTGATTCCCAACACACGGAGTCCTACAACCAGACTTAACCTCACTAGATGGTTCAGAACAGTGCAGCTTAGTTGTATGTTCTAATTCTCATACAAACTTTATCCTACTTCAGTTAGTATTGCTTGTCAAGGAAGCTGATAGCTCGGAATGAGTAACGTGTTCTACACATCTCAGTCGATGTGGCATCTCTTCGCAGATTAACTTCCTTTCTTTAAAAATTACAATGTGCCTAACTCCATTATTTCCGACAATGTTAAACTACCTAAAGGGGATAACTTAAATACATGAAACAAAGGACTGATCATAATATATCTCCCTATTTAAACGCCATTATCTCACTGCTGTCCTACGCTGGATGTCTTGAATTTCAGAAAACTGCACATGTGCTCTAACGGGCAGCGAGGTATTAGGTCTGTGTTAAATATAGACTGGCAAGTGCCGAACAAGCCTTTGGTATCTACATGAAGATTTGTCAGCAAACATACCTTCGGGAGCCCATGCATGAAGCTGTTTATTTGTAGACAGTGTGCTTGTTTGAACGTGAAAGAGAGTTAACAAATATACACATTTCTATGGTATACGAATTTGGCAACAAAGACGTTTATAAGACATTCACTTATATAGCTAGATATATTCTGACAGTAGATCAGCTAATATACACTTAATAAGTCAGCTGTGTGATTCTGCGAATAAGATTTGAATCACTCACTTTCCCTAATGTTTTCTGACATTTTTTAGACCTACATTGCAAATCTACTACATAAAACGTAACAACGTGAACATCTCACAAAACTCACCTTTGTAACGTACTCTTTAAGCTTAGCGCTTCGAGATTGCGCAATATTCCATCATCCAATATCAATCCTATGAGTTAGTGTTAACCAATTTGATTTATTTGTGCCCGCCTCTTGGTTGTGAGATAAAGGTTCCCGATCTTCGGTAAAATTCTGCCTAGCTCGTCCCGCCACTCGACTGTCGTAACTTTGGTTGACTCCAAATGGAGTAGTGCTGGGATTAGTTATATGTGGTTTGTAGTATGAGGTGTGCTAAGACTGTTACTACTGTGAATGGAGTTTATCCTTTCACCAGTTAGTCTTCCGGTGCCGTCGTCAAAAGAAAAGAGATAATAATAATAATAGATATAATTAAGGAAGTTATTCAGACTAACAGACAGAAAAAGAAATAAAGAAAACGTAAAAGCAGACAACCGATTTAATTTGAAGTTGATATATATATATAATATCGGTAATAATAATAAATGTGGTTAGAGTAAGACGGGAGAGAATGTGAAGAAGTAAAACGACGATTTTAGTTGTCTACCCTCGAATGGCGTATATGATTTTTAGGGGATAGGTCATTTGGACGCAGTCCTTGTGTCGCTGCATGATTGTCCAGCCTTCGCTTGGAGGTTTCAGCAGACGGTGCCATAGCTACATCTGCTGGTAAGGAGTTCCAGGGACGGCAAACCCCTTAGCGAAAAGAAGTGGGAGAGCACACGGGTCCTTGTTCTCTGGTGAGATATCCTTTAGTGATTTCCGCGAGGAAGGCTATACCTACTCAGTGGCAGAACACCTTTGTTCAGGGGACTCTGGTCATTTTTTATCTTGTAGGCAGTAATCAAACCCCCCCTAAGCCGATGGTAGCTAAGTGTGAATAGGCCTAATTACTTTAGCCTGTCATCATATGGTTTACTTCGGAGATCAACCTCTCCTTATATCGTCCGTCTTTTGTCTCTTTCCAGTGGTGCAATGATATTATGTAAATCAAAGTGTGGTCTGACGCATGTTTTGTACAACCTTAGAACGAGTCCAGCACTGAATGCACCTGTCTGTGTGTTAAGTGTATGACAGCATATGCCCTCGCCGGGTCCCCCGTGTAATTTACGCTGCTGTCCATATTTTTCGCTAAAACTAGACCTAAGTCACGCTCCGAAGTTGTGCAGGACAAGCTATCATTGCACAGGGTGTAACCTGCATTCTGCAGCCTACAGGTGCACAATTCCACTTCTTTGCACTTTTTCAGGTTGAAAGTCATGCCATTGGCCACCGTCCAGTCTTCCAGAAGCTTTAGAACTGCCTGCAGACTATCTGGGTCCTCTGGACACTTTATTGCCCTCCATATTTTTACATCATCAGCCTATCGAAGAGTCGTTAAGCTTAGATGGCATGGTACGCCATTGATGAAAATCAAGGACATCAGTGGTACTAGGGTAGAACCCTGCGACACTACTGATGACGAGCTGAGCCAAGATGATCGGACTCGATTGACCTTAGTGCAAAATTGCCCTTCAGCTAGGTAGTCCTTCAACCATGACAGAAGCGGCTTACCTATGCTTATACTGACTTATTTTGTGTTAGAGAAGGTAATGGTGAACTGTTTCAAACGCCTTCTCCAAGTCTAGGAAGACAACATGGACTGGAACATTTATATCCCAGCATGATGTTCAATCGTCCCAAGCTGACAGTAGGTTTGTTACACATGATCTGCCTTTCCTGAAACCGTGTTGGGCTTCATGGAGTTTATTAGACCTATTGAGGTATTCCCTGTTGTGATCATCAATAATACTTTCCAGTACTTTTAATACCACTGGGAGGAGAGCTACTAGTCTATAACTAGTGGCATTTTGTCTATCCCCACCCTTGAAGATCGGAGAACGGATGGCTCTTTTCCAATCATTTGCCAGTTTCTCTGAATCCGTCTAGCTTTAAAACAATTCGCATAAGGGCCTACAGAGAGCTTCGACGCACTGTTTCAGAACAGATGGCTTGATGTCGTCAAAACCTAGGGACTTTCCAGGTGTGTGTCTCTGTAGCTTCCCTATTACTATTGCCGGGTTTATTTGGGGAGTAGCCACTAGGTCTCCCTCCAGTGAAATAGTAGTGCTGCCATTTTGGTTTCTATGTATGCCATGATACACAGTTGTCTTCCAGTTATGACATGGGAGAAATAAGTCACTACCATTTCAGACAATTACTTACGTCTATATATGGGTCACACGCTTCAAATTTATTCATAAACTCTTACAACTGCATTTATAAGAAATACCAGTAAAATGCATATGGATTGGTTACTAGGGTGTTACCACTGTCAAGCGTCTAGACCATTGGTGTTGATGCCGACTGATTTCTATCAGTTGCGCTCACAGTGTGGTAACTAAAGTAGGTGACTCATCATCAAAATGTTGTCTGAAGGGGTATCTGACGGTTCAATTCAGTTCGAAGAAAGCGTGTACGTAGGGGAAGATGAAAAGATCTCGACATTGCATTGATGAAAACCATTCGATTATCAGGCGTGTAAATGATATTTCATGTGGGAAAAGAAAATGCAATGTGGTCAATAATTCCATTTGTTTGCCTTGTGTAATTT